CATTTTATAAGGCAAAAAATAACAAAATTTTTTCAGACTTTGCTGACTTCCCAATCTCAGTGATGTAAAAGTTGTACAAGCCAAATTTCAAGAAAACTGGTTAATGTTTAGAGGTTGCATACTTTGATCAGTTTTGTAAAAGTAGGCAAACATATGACTTTTCAATGTTAGTTACTTTTATTGGGAAAAGGAGAAAGCACAACATTAAAATAATATTAAAACTAGACACCAAAATTAATAGGCAGTATGATAGGCAAAATGTGTTATATTAATCAACTTTGAATTTTGCAATAATTTTTTTTCTCTTGGTGAAAACTTTTCTATGATGCTCGACTACCCTGAACAAACCCATGAGCTTTATCAGAGCACTTTTTTCTTTCTCTGTTGTCATTGACCACCTTAAGAGCATTCACATAGCTTCTTAGAGAATCATTACAGTAGTCTGTCACATTGTGATCCCGAACATTTCAAAGAATGTCTTTGTTTTATTAGTAATGAAATGGTCTCAGATCTTTTCCTACAAACACTAGGTTTTTACCCTCTAATTGTTTTGTTTCCTTTTTCTTTGCAGGTTTGGTTTCTAAATTGTTAGTTTTATTTTCTTTATCAGCCTGAGTAATACGTTCATCCAAACGAGCCAATCCTACCTATGTTAATGACAGATACCAAAGGTGTCTGTTAGCAAATGTGAAAGCACTTTTTTGACATGTGCATTTGGGTAAGTTCTGAGGAAGTGTAGCATATCCAAATCATTCTTTGGAACCCATCGACTTAGAATTGCCTCGTGCTGAAAGCGAACGTTTATGAGCTGACAAAATGTGCAACCTGTATCATTCCTTTAAATTCTTCTGGAGGAATATTAAACTATTTAGTGAAGAGGACAATTTTGATTGCCTGTGTCATCCACCTTGCTTGATGCAAATCCCCTGGGATCCTGAAACTGAAGTTGTTTTGAGACCAACCTCCTAGGTACAGGAGTGAGAGTTGCAATTCTTTGCAGTCTTCTCTTAGATGACTTCTGTCTTTGAGGACATTTTGAATGCAGTTAACCATTTTCACTCATTGTTTTAGAAAGCCTTGAAGGGGACTTCCTTCATCCAGCATTAACGAATATGACTTCTTGTCAAGCGAAGCGCACAGACTTTGGAACTTCTGAAAAATCTGGATGTCAGGATCATTGATGATATGCCACAACACTCCTCAAACACTCCTTTTAGCATTAGTTCATGGGCGTGATGATGAGAAGCCAGCCACAATAATGTTCATCCAAATTCCCTTTCAATTCTGGTATATGGCCCTTGGATCAGTCCTGTATTAGATGTGTAGTATCAAAAGACATACCAATGACATTGTCACATAGCCTAAATTCAGAAAAACTGCTTCACCCATCATCTTACCATAGCCTTTCAGGGCAACAGGTGTGCTAAGCGAGTGATGAAAATCTTTACCACCCACTAGCACTGTAAATCTGTCTTCTAAAATTTTGGCACTGCGACGGGCAACAGTTTGCTATCTCAATGCAGGACCAAATCAGGGGGATTTTGAAAGAGCGACTCTTCAGTTTTTGCTATTTTACTTTTATTGATCTCCCAAGCTTGGTAAACAGTTAGCTGGAGATGCAGAAATTTTTCAAACATTGGGGCCTAGGCTCTTTGCAGTTGCTATAAATGAAGTACTTGCTTGTCAAATAGAGAGCTGTTCTCGATCCCAAGTAGAAGTGAGTGTATGATCTAGGATTTGAACATAATTTTTTTATTGCTGGAGGTGAAAATTCAGCCTCTTCTTCACTACACGAGTCTCCCAATTTAACTGCCTTATTGATTTCAGTGATAGTTTTGTAATATTTATTCTTATATGAATGATTTTTGTCTTCTTTTGTAACACTTAGTTCATATTTTCAAGGTGAAAACCTTGTCTACTCTATTCAGTGATGAACTCTGTATGATCTTCTCTTTACGACCTAATATAGTCTTTATCTTCTTGTGATACAGTAGTTGTGTGTTCCATCTCTCATGTATAGTGGACTGTAAGTTGACTTGTGATTACCTTAATAGAACTCAAGAAACTTCAGAGTCATGACCGAATTTCTTTATTGTCTTTTCAAACATCATGTTGGCTAAGGAACAGTGACTCCAAGAACTTGGCAACCTCTAGCTTTAGAAGTGTATCTCAAAAGAACCTCTGCATTGTTGGAACGCCAGTAACTCCAAGGAACCCTGAAGCCCCAAACGCACACTTAAAATCCCTGATAAATTTGCATTTGTGCTGCTCTTCGGCTCAATGACTAGAATTACAATTTACATAGCAACAAACAGTAGTCATGTCCATCACATTTTGGTGGGAAATGTCAAATAATGAGATCATCTTTCCAAATCTGCCATTTCACATTTGCTTTCTCAGTCATTCTCAATTTCTCGTTATCCACATTTTGGTATGCTTTTACAGCTTCTGTATACCAGCGTGAATATTCTTCTTTAAGACATATATTTGTTTTCCTCCACGCTACCTGTGGTTAAGTACTAGTAGATTTATCAGCATCCGTAAGTGTCTTTTTCTTTTCTTTGTGGTGGTAAATAAAAAATAAAAGTGCTTCTTCCTTTGAAGCACTTTGAACTCCTAAAAACTTACTACTAGGCACCTTATGTTGCAGCCAAATTCCTCTTTTGGTTGCCATTTTAAAATTCAGTTACCTGCAAAAGATGAAAGAAAAATATGAGAAGCCCATATGTACAAGGCACTTTGATATTTGAAATTTCACTAGTTTGAGGTAAAAGTGATCAGTGTGTGCAACCCCCAAATATTATTCGAGCTTCTTGAAATTTGGCATATATATCTTTCACATCGCTGAGACTTGGGTATAAGCAAAGTCATACAAAAATCACATCTCTGGCAAAATGAAACATCCAAATATAAATAAAATTGAAGTAATAGGTCATCTAACTTTACTTAATGGTAATACACTGACTACCAATAAGTATTTGGACACCTATGCAAATGACAATATCTGCGGTCCTAAGGTACATCACAGATTCCGCCGGTATATATCGTGTAGGAAACAGCATCGGCTTTTTGTCGCATGCAAGATGCCTTGCAGTTTGGAGCTCTCTGATTTCGAGAAAGGTATAATTATCGGGTATCACAAACGTGGCCGATCCATAAGGGACATATCTAGCGATCTGAAGTACCCAAAATCGACAGTGGCCTATGTGATTAAGAAGTGGAAGGTGAGCGGTGACTGTAGAAATGTACCCCGAGTTGTCAGACAACAAAACTGGGAGATAGAGACCGACGAGTGCTATCCAGAGAAATTCGGAAGAGCCACACCCAACCGATGGCCCTCATCCGCGAGGAGTTTCAACAGGCATCCGGGAGTATTGTTCAATGAATATCATCTGTAAGGAAGCACATTTGCTTGGTTTTCATGGTCATGCTGCTGCCCATAAGCCTTTGATAACAAAGTCCAACCGCTCTGCTGAGTTAATGTGGTGCAAAGCACATCGAAATTGGACCGTAGATCAGTGGAAACGGGTTCTTTGGAGTGACGAATCAAGGTTCACTCTTTACTGTTCAGATGGAAGGGTCTGGGTTTGGCGTCTACCTGGAGAATGTCTCCTGCCAGAATACATTGTGCCAACGGTCAAGTTCGGCGGAGGTGGAATTATGGTCTGGAGGTGTTTCTCCTGGGTATGGGCTGGGACGATTGGTCCCCATTCATGGTAAGCTCAACTCCGATGCCTACTGCACTATTTTGGATGACAATGTGCTTCCTACGTTGTGACAGTTTTACGGGTTGGACCCCTGTTACTTTCAGGACGACAATGCCAGTTGTCATGTTTTGACGTTAACCAAGGCTTGGTATGGTGCCAATGGAGTTCATCGAATGAACTGGCCTGCCCAGTATCCAGACCTGAACCCTATCGAGAACCTCTGGGACGAGTTGCATCGCTGAATTCAGGGGTGCACTACCCTTGTAAAATCGGTGAAGGAACTTCTATGTCTTCTCCAAGCCAAGTGGAAGAAAATACCACTAGCTGTCATACAAAGACCTGTGGAAAGTATGCCCCAGAGGGTCCACGCTGTAATTACCTCTCGTGGAGGCTCTACCAACTATTGATTTTGAATAAAGTTAGTTTTTCTTTTCTATCACAGGTGTCCAAATACTTATTGGTAGTCAGTGTACTACTTTGCTTAATGATAATACTAAAGCTTGATAAAAATGCGTACGAAACTGTATTTAAAAAGTTATCATCAAGTTTTATTCTTCTCATGTGTAGTTGAATTTTGCTTGTATCTGTTCTGTGCAGTGAATGGTACATAAAACTGCTGAGCTTGGGTGCATATTTGCTAAATGTTAACAGGTTCAGTTAGAAGACTGAAAAATTATAGTATTGTAGTCCTTATACTAATTACTGTTCTGTGATTAGGTTAGATTAGATTACCTAATTTATATGATATGCATTACCTATTTACCTTAATTCTCCCCACAAGAGGGCTTTCACATTTTACCATACATGGGAAATGGCTGTAAAAATCCTATTTTGCTAACTCATTTTCTTGAGATCAAACATGAATCCCAAATTATAGTTCAAATATGGGGTCCATGTGACCCTTTGGTTGTTGCTGTTGTATGTTTATATACAAGATTTAAAAATATGTATATTTTTTCAATTTTTGTATTTTACTGTAACATTACCAAAGCAAGTTAAAAGGGGTGGGACAGAAAACTTGTTCAGATTAGTTTTGTTGTTTATATGAAATGAAATTTGCTGTCAGGCGGAAAATAACATGGGTATTATTTCTTTAATTATCTGTGATTTTATCTTGTATCTAATTTTATTTGTTTTGTTTTAAAATCAATGTGGCAGTGCAGATGTTTTTGTTAATTGGCATTAGGTTGTTTAAATGTTGTAAGAAATTATGATTAATAGTTCTGCTTGCAACATTTGAATATTAAATGCTGATTTTTTCCATATAATAATTTGTTGTATTAATCTTTAAAGGGTCCTGCTGAAAGATCTCGTCACCGGTATGGGTCCTCAACATCTATTCCAGATACTGCATCAGAAGCTTCTTCTAGAAGTGATACACCTTCACGTTACAGTTCCATAAGCTCTAAGAGCAGCTTGAATGAAGAGGAAAATAAAGATTATAAAAAAGTATATTTTATTTAATTTCAGGTTTATAAAAATTGATTTCATGCATAATGTCATTATTTTTCACATAATATATGTTTTTATATTTTCAGAATATAAAGTAGTTACTGTTTTGATTTTGTTTGGCATATCGTCATAGAACTGTTGTTTTTTCTACTGAAGGAGATTATGTAAAAATTAATTTTAATCAAATGTTAAGTTATATTGTAACTGCCTTTGTTTAATTGTTTTTTGATATTGAAATAAGCTTGGTGAACTAATATTTTTTCTGCATTATTTTTAAGCTCTATGAAGAAGTAAAGAAAGAAAATGAAAGGTTAAAAGAGCAATTAAGGAAAACTGAAGAAGAGCTAGAAGGAACAAAGAAACAATTACAGAAATTATCTCAGGTTTATTTGTTTGATTTCATATTTTGAAAAACATTTTTGCGATCAAATATTTTTTGTTTTTTGATTCATCTGAATAGTTGATTACTCTATTACAGTTGAATCGTTGATAAGGAGTAAAAGTAAAAATCAGTGTCATTGACATGTAGTAGCAATTTATGGGAAGAGATATGCGTACTACTGTGATTCTCAAGGAAAAAGTGTAAATCAGTCATAAACCAGGAATGATGACAACATTACGACTAAAGCATACAGTAATATGCTAAACGTCTCTGCCTATTTTGTATACACAAAAAAATATCAGAATGTGCAGCGACAAGAAATATTAAGAAAAGGGAGTATAACACCAAATAACGAAACAAGAACATATAATTTTTAATAGGAAATGCTTTTTGAAAAATACATAATCCCTACTTTTTTTTTTCAAATGCTGGTTAAATGATAATTTATGTCAGGAGTCAAATGATCTGTGATGCAGAAAAGCAGTAATCATTACTTGAGTTGGAATACTTATGTGGGGCTTTGAACTGGTTGATAAAAATTTGCAGCTCTCATGTGAGCATTTCATACACATTCAGTAAAATTAATGTCTGAATAATATGCTGTTTATAATCTGTTAATATGATTTTATTTAGTCATCAGAAATCATCCATTATATGAGCTGTGCATGAACTGGTTGGTGTTATTTGTTAGAATGAAGTCTGGATGTGTTGCTGCCACAAAATGTCTAATGTAATGGTTAAAAGTATTTATCAGGATGTTTTTGTGCTGTTGCAATGTAGTTGCCAAAGGTACTAAAGTCTTTTCAGTGAATGAAACAAATTCCACTCCACATAGTGATTCCACTATCCTAAAAGAATATCCTTTGATAATCTTTGATACTTAAAGTCTTAGCTACTTGATATTGAGTGCCAGCCTCTTTTCACACTAGCATTCTCTGCCAGTCTCTTTTTCACCCTTAGTTTTCATTCTGCAGAGTAAATTTTTGATTTTTTCATGAGGAATTTGTTGCTGTAATTATCTAATATTCTAGTGATATGCTATTGTGCATATGTTTTCTGTTTGTATGTTGCATACATGACAAATAATGGAACAGAATCATTGGTCGTGGTATAGAAAAGCCAGCTGCATTTAATCACCATCTCTTCTATTGACCAGCCTTCTTGTTATTGCACTGAGGGTGAAATGAAAAGCGGATTTTTTGAACACTTGGTATGATCAGTAAATGTACCTTGTTGCATATAATATAAAAAGACTTTAGGGACAATTACCAGTTGAAGTTAGAATTTTATTATATACTGTAAAAATCATTTAACATGAAACTGGGGGGAATGAAATATTTTTTCATGTCAAAAGAATTTCGTGTTAAAGGGTATTGGGGAAATACTATATATATATTAAACAAAATTAAGTTTTATTAGAGTACATTTTATTTATATAGTATATATTTAATAAAAATCAATGTAACAAAATCATCCACAAGAACTTAATACACAATTTTCAATATTTTGAAAAACAAAATATTTATCGAGCTTTTAGAAAATAGTCTGACATTTTTCTTTGCATTATCTTTTTCAGCATCAAATTGTCAACAAATTGTTCAGTGTCATCCATTTTGTCATTCATATCACCATTGGAATGTGCACCTAAACAACTGCGCATACTTTTCATGATGTTCCTCATTTCGGATGACGTGGGAACAGGAGCTGTATTATTCATTTCATTTTCGTCATCAGGATATGTATCAATGATTTTTTTTTTAGCTTTGAACAAACTCCAAACTGTCTTTGTCTGCCATAATTGGGGCCGTGTACACATTATCATCATCTGCTGCAGTGAATTCTTCCGATGATACAGTAGGACAGTTCAGTAATACAAAAACTTTCTAAACGATTTCATTAAGTGTTGGCTCAGTTTCAATATCCTCCTTCTGCATTTCTTTTGGCGCAAACCAAACTCGCTGATTTTTACACATACTGCAATGTGCTCATCACCGAATTTCGGAGCCAACTGATGAGAGATTTGATTTTTTGTGTGGCGTTTGTATGGGTGGAGTGTGAAAGTAGCTTAGATAAACAAAATCGGCTAGTGTCACAGGCTATTCCGAGGATATTTCAAAGCCAAGTCATGTGTTATACGTCAAGTTATGTGGCAAGTTAGCCTCCTGTGTACAAAACATGCAAAACCACATCTCTTTTGCTTCATCTCTTTCACTTCTTTAATCTCACCTGCGTGGCTGGTGTTTTCTATATTTTGTTCATTCCCAAAGAATTAATCTTTTTGTGTTAAGCAGTTTTCATTTCGAGTTAAAAGAAAAAAAAAAAAATGCATGAAAGTAAACATTAGTTTGTCGGGACCATTGTGTTATTTTGATTTAATCGATATTTCTTCTTAAGCATTTTTGCGTTAAATCTATTTCACTGTATATTTGATATTTTGTGTATGTGTTTATATATATAAAGTGAATGGGAAATTCATTTCTAAATAACTGGTGAACACAGTGAACTACATTTCTAAATATCTAGCTATAGTAAAAAAAGAGTGTCTTGCAAAATGAGACCAGTTGCAGCAACTGCTGACAAAATTCAGAGCTTAGTAATGCTGTTTCAAAAACTATGAGAGATACAGAGCCAATTAAGTGCTGTAGAGTAGTGGTTGCAAGCTTTTCCATGTATCCCATAATAAATCTTTGCAATTATATGGAATCCCCAACTCCCCCCTTTAAAACTCATGACCTCATCATCCTCATCCAGTATTCTGACAACATATTTTACCCATTGTATTATTTTAATACCAGAAAATTTCTTATGTTGTTTTTACTCTGACAATGTTAATTTTGAGGTTGCTTTAAAGAAATCTCAACTGAAAGAATCTCAAATCCAGTCCTCATCACTTGGAAAAGTAGTGTTTGGAATGCCCCTGTGAACCCTTTTTTAAGTAGGTTATGTTTCCTTTGACTTCTTTCGTAAATCAAAGCTCATTAAGCTCATTTTCTGATTAGAAATTGTAAAAGGTCTCAAATATTTTTGTCTAATTGTTTCGTCTAAGCTCCAGAAATCTAAAATCTTTGACCACTGAATCAATTTGGTCATATATTTTCAAAATAGTTATAGAACTGTTCTGTAAAGTGAATTTATCTTATTTTAAGGAAACGAAGATATTCCTTTTCAAGCAATCAATTTTCAAGCATAATTCAAATCGGTGTGCTTAGAAAAAAGGGCTTCACTCAAATGAGTGGCAAATATCGATACCAATTCAGAGCTATTATCCAGTTTTAATTCTGTTTGAAGATATTTGTTTTAACAACTTGAACATTTTAAAACAATTTGCAATTTCCCTATACCTGCATTCCCTTTACATTTAACAATGGGGGGATTAAAACAAAATTAATTTGTCACAATTGTGCAGAAAGAGAAGTATATAATTGACTGAGTGATTCACTTAATAGGGAAAATATAGTTGAAAGAGTGGAGAACGGAGTGGCTGTGTGCAATGATTAAGAAATTCACTAATTTAACAACTATGGATGGAGTTAAGTAGAATGAATTATGTTGTTTTTTACACATTTTGGTTAATAGTGATCATGAAGTGCGCCTAAATAATGGCAATTGCATTTGTTTGTATTCTTAATTTGCTATAATACTTGATTTTTTTCTGTCATTACTGAGAATTTTTAGCCTACCTCTGACTAAGCCATGGTGAATCCCCAGGGATATGTATACCACTGGTTGGAAACCACGGCTGTAGAGAATTATTAATTTAGTATGAAAAGACATATTGTGCATGCAAACACTTAAAATAATCATCTGTGTAGACCAGGGATGTCAAATTCATAAGTATACTTGGCCAAACAAACAAAGTTTAACTTTAGGCGGGGCGCAAAAAAAAAATCAATACTCATAGAAACGTAGATTTATTTCGAATAATACAATAATAAACATATATATATATATTTATATAGAAAGAACAAGAAAATTTTAATGTTTTACATCCTGATACTTGACATCTCTTTCTGTGTATTATCTTTCCTATTTCGGGAGAAATTTTGTTTGCAGTGATAACTTTCAACGCTGACCCAGGTGAGCATCATTAATGCGGTTCTATAGGAGATTTATTACCTTTCATGACTGAAAATAACTACTCGCACCGATAAGTGCTATCAAACATGGAAATAATTTCATATGCGGAATTTTTCGAGTATTTTTCAAACCTGGCTGGTAAATATTTGTAAAATTCAGGCACGCCCACTTCAATGAATTTTGCTTTTTAAATTTGAGTTGCATTGAATCTCGATCACCTCCATTTGCATATGGCTGGGGTACTGAGTCAATACTTATTGAGAAACATCGAAGAAAAAAAAAACAAAAAAAATTGTATTCGAGGGAACTAAAATCATTAAATCTCGTTTCAAATTCAGTTGTTAAATTTGCAATTTTTTTTCTGTATATTTTTGATACGAACAAGTTCATCTAAACTTGATTTGTTCAGGCTGCACATCGGGAAGTGCGTCAAATCTCATTTTTAAGTTGTTTTTCCCAAAGAACTAGTTGACATTTGAATGCTTTAAATGTCAAAAATGTTCGTAATGATATGATCTTTTCCTTGAATGATAAATTTAAATCGGTAAGGTTTGGTTATATCAACCAAGAAAGATAAATCTTGTTCCATATTGGATCGTAAAACAAACGTCTTGACTTTTCGTTTTTAAAAACTGACATATTTCTTCTTTTTAAATCCCAAATTGTTTGAGAATCTTGGGAGCAAGATAACCAACCATACCTCTGTATAGTAGGACAAACCCGAATATTCACTATCTAACTCACTTAGAAAGCAGTGAATTGACGCTGATTTAAAACCTCAAGATCTTATAAAAATTATAACTTTTTTTTTATATGTGACAAAACATTCTCCATATTTATTACTTTCGTGCATAGAACTTCTTGATGTATAATACAATGCATATGATGAATGTTTTTGAACCGTGTTTTCACTAAGTTTTTTTT